ACTTCTGCCAGCCACGCTACTTCTGATGCAAGCCAGAACACCTCGGCCTTCTTGGATGCCTGGGCATGCTGCTGGCTCACGTTCAGCTGGCTGTCAGCCAACACCCCCTGATCCTTTTCTGTCAGACAACTTTCTCCACCCTTCCCCATGCTTATGCTGCTGTCTGAGGTTGTTATGACCCAAGTGAAGCATCCAGCAAGCAGCCCTGCTGAATGCCATAAAATTGGACACTGCCCATCAGCGTAGCCTGCTCAGATCCCTCTGCAGAGCCTTCCCTTCCTCTGGCAGATCAACACACCCATCCAACTTGGTGTCACCTGCAAACCTTAACTGAGGGTGCGCTCGATCCTCCGTCCCCTCATCAAGATCACTGATACATAAACAAACCTGGTCCCAAACTGAACCCTGGGGAACATCATTTCCAAAAACAGTCAGCTCTGATTCTTGTCAAGTTTTGGCACTTGAAGACTGACCTTTTTGAGAGTTTCAGCATCCCAAGTTCTCAGTAATACAGCCACACACCCAGACCATTGTGCAAAAACTGGTTTGTGTGCCAGGGTCACCAACGCATCACATTAATTCAGTACCATGAGGGAAATCAAGTAGTTTCAGGGTATGACATAATTACTGTTGCTTTCTTTATTAAGCTGGAAAGTATAATCTTAGGCTAATGAGCTATAAAACACTAAACATTACAGATCTTAATGCAATTACAACTCTAATTTTGCCCTTTAAAACCATGGCAAAGAAAACATCTCATTTGCTTTATTGCGCCCTTTAACAGCAGTACCCAAAGGACATCCAAAGCAGCATAAAGCTGTGCTGGCAAAGTTAAATGATAAGCAATTAGATGCAGGATCCAGGTTCATTAAGTTCCATTCTGCCTTCACCGACAATCACCCCCAAGAGTTGGAAGAACTTAATTCTCTCCTGCAATATTGTTAACAAATGTGTGCAAAGACCTCCATTTTTGTAGCAAAACTGCGAGCATTAAAAATCAAAAAGCTGTGACAGTAAATTCCTTGGTTTACCATTGATTATTCCTTGGTATACGCTTGGTTTTAACATACAGCTGTGAAATTGGAAGTCAGAGCGGAAATTGCACACCTACTACTAATTGTAAGCCTTGAAAGTGTTATAATAAATGAACGCAAAGATTTTAAGTTCTAAGCAGTATTTCAGGTTACGACCGATTTCATTGTTTTTAACCTCAGGTGCTGTTATTGACACAGTACTTTGAATACGCACACATAATCCTAAGGCTATTTATTAACAAAGCACAGACAGGCGCCTCTGAGCTCGGCAGCTGCCAGGGACGGATGCAGGAGCCCCGCCACACCCGCTGCTGCAAGAGCTGCGCAGCCACGTGCTGACAGCAAGCCGACACACGCCTGTCTGACCTCCCTGACACACGCAAACATCTCAGCAGGGCGCTCCTCCGTCCGCCCAGGAGCTCCACAGCAGCTCATTTATACACCTTCCTACACAGCCAGCATGCCCACATTTCATGCCCTGCGCCATCGCTGCTTGCAGCAGCAGGGAAGCCCACACTACCACGTACCACATCCGTGCAGCCCTAATCTCAGATAACAAACCTGTGTTAACAAACCCTACAATCCAAATAAAAGTAATTGAGAACTAATAAAGCATTTTTACAAGGCAGTCATAAAGAGCTCCTCTGCACTATAAGCACACTGCATCTATTGCAACAACAATGCACAAGTTTACACAATAAAAAGTCTGACCTTTAAACGATTAAGCACATTACTAAATCATCCTCCCGTGAGAAGCTCCATTGCAGACAATAGAATGAGTCACACGAGCAAGGAGCCTTGGGTGCTGCCCCTTGGAGAACTTGCGTGCCAGTGCGGCTGGAAGAGCTCAGCTGCGTAACTCTACCACAGAAGTCCAGAAGTGCCTGACTTTTGAGGAGACAGCAGACCTTTGAAATTCAATAGAGGGGAATCTAGTGCAAAATAAAGGCAAGTTTAAAAATATACCAAAATCGAAAACAAAACCACATGGAGTAAGTTATCTATTTAATATCTCTTTCACAATAAGCGACCGCCTATTCAAGTATGCTGTTTCTCTATATTTGGCTATCAATATTCTAAGTTCTTCATGTTTTTCGTTAGGATTTTCATATAGCAACTCATTTATGTGAAAAAAACTCTCCAAAATAATAGTTCTTTTTTTTCATTTTATCACATAGGCAAGCCATCAGTTTGAGCAATAATTACTGCAACCCCAGTTCTCTCTTGACCCAGAAACAATGTTTTACTGCTAAGTATTGATTTCTCCCCACTTTCAATTTCAGCTACAGCAGTGAGGATTCAGCAGACTTGAAAAGCAAAGCAAGGGGGACAAATGTGACGCACTTAGAATTGAAAGCAAGCCCAGCATTTTGCCATCATAAGCAATCGCATAATAGAAAGGTCTCAAGAGGAACAAGAAACATGCCTGCTACCCACCCATCTCTAGCACAGTTCTTCCATTTCCCAGTTCAAAATTTAAGTACAAACAATGAATCCATGGGGAAAAAATCAGGGACATGGCTGGAAAGTTCATGATCTTCTTAGGAATGGATCATATACAGCACTACAAAGTTAACAACTTCTAGGAGTTATCAGCCTGATCCAGGCTCTCTCTCACTAAATTGGGACCTAGAGATCACCACCTAATTATCATGAACACTTACATGAGATGCAACATCTCTGAATTTGTCCCAGAGTAAGACTCCACTCTCTCATTCAGAAAGAAGTTCTGAAAGCTTTCTGATTGCAACTGACTGCAATTCAACTTTGTTCACACCATGGAGAACACTGACATCAGGTCCACGCAACACTGCATCTCTCCTGAAGACAGCCCAGTCTTTCACAAAGTAATGGTGGTCACATAAAACAATCCTTTGCCTCAGTTTATACTTTCTGCCTGAGCAGAAAACCTGTGAAAACCTGCAGACTTGCAGCAGAAATATTGCTGTTGACCTGAATGCTCTAAGCAGAACATGTGTGTGCAATCACTGGAAAAAAGCAAAGGAACCAGGGTTAAAAGAACAACCTGTACTGACAGTGAGGTGTTCTGTCAGAAGCAGCCTCCTGGGAACAGTAAAACTGAGGAATGAGTTGTTGGCATCCAAACCAGAAGGTCTGCTCTGCTCCCTGTACCATCACAGCGCAGGGACTCATCAGAAGACCCTGCGTTCCCAGCACAAAGAGGAGGGAAAGTTGTGGTGATCACAAACAGCATTTCTTTTCCTAAGCATCCAACAGGACCACAGATGTACCTCAAGCCAGGGAAAAAAAACAAACAAAAAAACCAACAGACAACAGAAGAAAAAGAGCAGGACCTTTGATTAAGATTTCTGGAGACATGAGACTCTTGCTCACATCAAATGACCACTTTCTACATAAAGATAAAGCTGAATGCCATAATAAATCTGTCTGTGATTGTTCACCATCACCAACCACAAAATCTGAGGAGCAGGAAAAATCAGTTTAATGTAAGATTTTTACAATAAGCATCACTTCTCCCTTCCATGAGATCGTCCACTGAATTTCGGTACATTAAATCTTCCTCCAAGTCACCCTACAAATCTCTGTAACAGCTGAAAGGACCCACAATCAAGAAATTCAAAAACACCACGCAATTCCACTGCGCATGGCTGCCTTTATGCACCTCATCCGTGCTACCATGGAAAAACCAGGACACTATCAAGGGTTTACAGCTATGTGCGTACATAGAATGGATCTGAGAAGTAAAGCCATGTAACAGCAATTCCAAACTCGTTACTGAAGAAATTCAGCAATATGTTTTTTGACTTCTTTTTTTTAAATGTACAAATAAGAAAGTTGCCATCTACAACTCCACAAAGCGCTGAGAGATGCAAGCTTCTCGTGGGCACCCAAGGGTTGGTTGTGCTTTAATCTGCCCATGTAATCTTCTTTACGTGGACACAAATAGTTTTTCTAAAAGCTTGAATGAGGAAAGGGAGAGAGTATAAAGCATAAAAAAATCCTCATCAAGTTCTGAATGATTCTCAAATTTTTAATACATAATTGAATATAGAGCATAAATTAAGTAAGCAGAATTCATTTTTCTGCTTTTCCAACTGCACCTTTAATTCACAGTTGAGAAGATGACATTGTCAGGTTGTCAGTACTGCCAGAATTCCACAAGTTACAGGTGCTTAAAAGTAAAAGTTAACCTCAATTTCTATTTTGAAGACCATTGTCATTATTCCCTCTAAGAGCAGTATGTGTACTCCCCAAAGGAAAGCCACTGGACCAAGGAAAACAGGAACCTACCGAAGCAAGGAGATAAAGGAAAAAAAGAACAAGCTCATCACACCTTAAATCCTACATCCAAACTCAGTAAAATTCTCCATGCTTTTAAAAACAATTTAGCTGAATAAGTCAACCAGTACACGAATGCCAAGAGGATACAATAACTTGAAATTAACAAAATAATAAGTTAATCAGACATCAATATTTCTCTGTACAGATACGAAACAAAATATATACACTATCAGGAGATACTGTAACTGTACATCTCCCAGTGAGATCTTTTTTCTCTTTACTGCTTCTCTCCATTCTCAGTTTTTTTAATTGACTTCTACAGAAGCCTCCTTTGGCTCTGGAATACATGAATCCTTGCTACTAACAGAGAATGTTTGAATTCTTACTTTCTACTTAGATACAATGATTCTTTTATGTACTATAGAAACAGCATCCTCCTGCACACGAGTACATTAATCAACATTACACTGAAATCAATAGCCAGACCAAAAGCAGTTCTATCCTGCAAGGTATTGTCATTAGGCATGTATTTACTTTCAGAGGCAGATTTCCAAGCTACTCCCTTTCACAGAACACCAACCAGCAACACAGCACTACTTTACATTTATTATACTTTACACATACAATGCAATAAGCCAACTTTTTTTTTTTTTTTTTTTTTTTTTTCCCTGAAGTCACCATAAAAACAAACAGAAAGCTTACCTTTTTCTGGTACCAAACTATAGCATCAGTTACTTTGGACGCCATTTATTCCACTGAATTCACCCAGTCATTTTAGGCTGTTAACAGAAAGAAACAGAACTTTACTTCCACTTTCCAGTGTAACACAGGTGGCACACAGACGGTGCTGTATTATCTCAGGAGAACCTTGGGGAAGTTTCATTAAATGCAGAACGCCACGTAAGGATTCTGATGCCAAGAGATCAACGAGTTATAAAACGTTAAGAAAAGCTCATACAAACTAGTAGGCATTTGGGGAAGAACAAAAACAGCACTGATCACAAAAAAATATCTGTTCTGATTACAATATTAATCCACTCAGGAAGAGACCAAAGCTAAGGCAGAAGAAGCTACAGAAGAGTCGCACGCTTGTTTTAATGGTAACAAACAGGAAGAGGCTTTGGGGTTTTTTAAGCATTGAACCAAATGACAGTGGTATGAGAAGGAGGAACTCAGCCTATGTAAAACTTTCTCCCTTGAAAATGACTACGAAGTATTGTTCTGTGCAGTCAGAGTTAGCACTGAAAAAAAACAGTATAAAGAAAACAAACATTACAAAGCTGCAGATTTAAAATGATTACACTCCTACAAATCACTCTTCCACCCTTGTCACGGTTTGGCCACACTCTGCTTTTACTTTTACGTGGAAGAGTAAGAGAACAAATCGCACGTTTTCTCTCACAGCAGACATTCTGTAAAATTAACTGAAAGCACACGTGAGAATTACAGAGTCCTTTCTGGATGTTTTATAATAATATAAAGTTCTTTTATATATGAATGTATTACAACTAAAACCAAAACCAAATATTTCACAGACTACTTAAAAACAGATTGATAACAGCGAGGTGTACGTAGTGCTCACAGTCCAAGCTGTTAATTAAAGCAGGAAGCAGCCAGTGAAGCAAAAGGAAGAAAGAACTGGAAACAAATATTTTCCAAAACATCAGTACTTGTGTTTAACAACCATTCAACTCGCTGATTCCTTTTCAATCTCTATGTATGTATTAACAAGTATGCCAAACTGAAGCCTGGTTAAAAAAGAGCCAGTGGGGCGTACCGAAGTCCCTCACTCTGTAGATGGAAACAAACTATGCAATAGATTGAAATCAAATCTGTATGAAATGCCAAAGCATTAGGGTAAGTTGTGACACGGTATGATACATTCTTCATCACCAAGAACTTGACATGGTTTATGGGAAAGAAAAAAGTAGCACTGAATTTTCCTCATCATACGTTTCTGTGTAAGAACACCGCAGGTAATACCGCTACACGGCCCATCCATGCTCCCATCTCCCAGAGACTCCTGGAACAAGAGGGCAGACGCATGGGAAAACTCCATTCTGCACTGACACCTACTCTTGCTGCACACTGTGTGCTACTTCAGAGATGCTGTATTCTTAAGTTGGCATATGCATTACAAACACTATAGTACAGATCTTCAACAAACAGACTCGTTTGTAGCGGCTCCTATGAATCTCTAAGGAGCATAATGCAATACATGCTTATCTTTCACCAAGTTCTGTGTGTGTTTGTTTTTTTTAATACTTACAGCATCTTCTGAGTATTTTATTTATGGTTTTTAACAGTAAAAGTTCAATATCCTTCATACAATGTTAAGGAAGATTACAACACCATACAAAGCAACAGCTCTGAAGGAGCTCACAGCTTCATTTCAGAGTTATCACAACAGTGCTTTTAGAGCAGAACAGCATCATTCTTCCACTGTTGTTATCATCACCACAGAAGCCACATCACGTCAGTTAGAACGCAAAGCCACCACTTGTATCAAGAACTGTAATTGGGTTTCTAATAACAGTGGGAGTTTAACTAAGAGCGACTATCAGCAACTAAGAATTTATCAGCACAATAAAGACTTCTACCACAGACTTCTATCTAACAGACCCAGCTATACCTTGGCATATTACAGATTGCTTACCCTTCCTTCTCACCCACACAAAGCTTAAAACAGGATTTGTTTTCTTGTTTGCAAACATTCCCATAAACTTCAATATAAAATACTTGGCTACATAAGTACAGACAAACCAGTGCCACCTCCTCTGACACGTACAGCCCTCACACACAACCTGACCTACGTTTGCTCAGTCACAGCGAAGGCAGCCCCGCTGCTCAAGGAAGAACCTACATGCCTACAGCACATACAGGATTTGACCACACTTGTATCCCTTGCCTTCCCCTGCCTTGTGAATACAGTGTGGGCACATCTTAAATTCCTTCTCATTTCCCCAAAGGTAGTCCACTTTAATGTTAATTAAAGCACTACCGAATTCCACAGCACACAACCACAAAGACACATGAGGAAACACAAGGCCACAGGAATGATGTCCCAGCTCACCGACCTCAGCTAAACATCTGAGTGGAAATACCTCCACCAGGAGATGTCACACGCTTTCTTCAACAGACATACGGCACTTTCTGATGCAACACTGAAATAAAAGGTGAAAAAATGCATTCAATTATTTCCAGACAATGTTTCTGCTTGAAAAGGCTGAAATTTGTCTGCCTTTTTTGAAGGCAGCAGAATGAGTTTAATGCATTTGGCCTGCAGGTAAGATATATCACAATCTCTGGAGTTGGAAGGGACCTTTAAAAAAGCTCTCTGACAAGAGACTGCAACAAGCTCAGAACTCTGCATGTTCACATTTTATTTAGCTGACAATCTGTATTGCTGTCAATCCTCAAGTCAGACTGTATGTGCTGGGCTCTAAGATCCATCAAATGGGCAAAATGAGCACATCAAAGCAGCTGATACATAACACAGGCTCAACACAGGCACAACAGAGCACTGCCTATTCTAACTTGTCCTCCATCTGATTCTCTCTGAATCTGTTTCATGTCACACATCAAACACACACAGGTGTGTTTGACACCTCAGCTTTTACACCCAGCTGCACCACATTCACTTGTATGTCTTGTGCAAAGTCACTACAGCAAGATGAGCTTCATCTTAACTAGCTGGAGACTTAAGGGCAATACTAAAGACACACTGTAACTCCAGATGGAACACTCAAATACATAAACTCGGTCACATTTCTGCAACACTTACCTGAGCCATTTATTACCACTTCATCAAACCCACCGTTAAAATTAATAACAAGCAACAGTTCTGGATGAAATTCATTACTTGCTTGAAACTAAAAGCAGATGACTACATTGATCCTTATTGAGACGTGGGGTTTTGTAGCTGTTTCTTTTCCATTTCAGAGCATAATCATATTCCATTTTAAATAAATCCACACTACACCCTGCAATCAAACAAGCACTTTTTCAAAAGCCACTAAAATGTATTTTTAGATGTTTCCAGCAATTTAAACGCTCAGTCAAGCAGCACAGAGTGCTTATTGTGTAACACAGGATTAGATACCAGATATTTTACTCATAACCGAAATGTCTTGGAGTCCCCAGTCAGACACAAATGCAAACCTTCCTAAACGACAGTCTGCAGACAACAAATTCTATTTTGAACAATTGAATTCTATTTTGAATGCCTGAATTCTATTTTGAACTCAGAAGTTCTGAATAAAGCTGTGCTCCTCATACCAAAGGGAGAGGCCAAAATAAAGACTTTTAGAAATACTGGAAGACTAAATAAGCAAAGTGAGCACAAAAACATCACTGAAAATACAACGCAGGCAAGGAAGTAGTAGCAAATGGTTGCTTTTCTTGTCAGTAAGCACTGTGAATCACTAACTTCACATTTATGATTTATTTTAAATCATAGAATAGAATCCTAGAATCTCTGGAGCTGGAAGGGACTTCTGAAGGCCACCTAATCCAACTCCCCTGCAATGAACAGGGACACCACAGCCAGATCAGGGTGCCCAGAGCCTGCTCCTACCCGGCCTTGACAGTATCCAAGGAGGGAGCGCCCACCACCTCTCTGGGTGACCTGTTCCACTGCCTCACCGCCCTCACTGTAAAAGACTTTTTGCTTATCTACCTTAAATCTCCCCTCTTTCTGCTTGAAAACATTTCCTCTTGCCGTGTCACCACAGACTGTGCCAAAAAAGTCTGTCCCCTTCTTTCCTGTAGCTCCCTTCTAGATACTGGAAATGTCTCAAGGATTATCTTCCCTTTATACAAGTGCTAATGTGGATGGTCAGGATGCCACCGGGTCTCAGAGCCTGAGGGCCCATCTCAGCTCACTATGAATAGGAATGAAGTCCTCACCATCACTAAACATCAGCAGCAGTCCAACCACACAGCTGTGGCATTTGTCCTACAAGGTCTTTAAAATGCTATGAATTTTTCCACTTTCATTGGAATAACGTTCCCATGTAGCAAGCTGCTGAAGGTGGTTAAAAGGAAAAAAAGAGAAAAAAAAAAAACTATAAAACCACAAGAACAACAGAACTTGGTTTGGATTGCTTTCCTTAGCTGCCACTGAAGCAACATTTGTATCACATACTAAAAAATAAATAAATAAATAAATAAAATAAAGAACATTGTACCTGCTGGAATGTAGCTGATAATTTAAAGAGGAAAACCCTTTCTCTTTCTTTACTTCCCAAGAGCAACATAAAAATAGAAATTACCCTTACCATCGTATTGTTGTCATTATTTGATACTTTATTTTAAGTAAGTCCAACGAACAGCTTATTCACATTATGCATCCCCTATTGACTCTGAAGGTTCTTATGTCAGGAGGGAACAAACCAACTGCAGTATCAGTGGAATGCAGCTGCACCACCAGCACTCACCAAGAGACATCCTTCCTCTGCACACATCCATGGGGTTGTGCCACCATCACATCCTGGAAGCAGTGTTTCAAATGACATTCTTTCCATGTGCATTACAAATAAATCATTAAGCCCACATTTCCCTTTTTAAAAGGAACATCAAATTCCATATAATGCACACAGTGTTCTGTTAAAGTACTTTATCTATGCGGTACTGTCCTCCAAACAGCATTTCAGAATTGCAAATAGCATACAAACAAATGAGAAATTTGTCACACCTTTCAGGGGAAGCCTTCTCACATTGCTTTCAGCTAGCCTCAGTAGAATCCCAACCAGGTAAAGGAAAGAGGAAAGAAAAAAAA